GTGTGAGTGAGAGCCAGACAGAGAGAGGGAGTGCGTGTGTGACTGCTCTTGGTTGTGAGGATTCTTTCTGGGCTGATGAAAAGTATTCAAATATTACACGTGGTTTTGCACCAAAACCACAAAGCCAAACCTGCTGGTGTTCCAGCTCACAGTGCCCCCAGAGGACAGAGCAAAACTGCTCCATCGGTTTTCTGAGGCCACCCATCTTCATCACAGAAGCAGACCCCTTCTTGTCTCAGAACAGCTGGTGAGTTTCAGTTGCCAACCTCGGCCTTTCGACCTTTGGGTTGGCAGCCCAGTGCTGGTGAGCACTGGGTCTCTTCTCAGCAGCCCAGGCACTCTTGTTGCCCTCTCCCAGGGATGACAGAACAGCCTCAGTCATTTGCCCAGGGTCACATCCCTGGTAAGCAGCCAAGCTTGACTCATTCTCTTCATTGCCTTCCAAACAATTCCAAAAGGAGAGTGTAGTAGCACTGTTTGTTGGTCTGTTTTTAAGCAATTTTAAAAATCAGATTTGTCAGCTAGTGAGTTTGCCCCACTGGTATTGCAGTTAGCAGCTTTGCTTTTTTTTTTTTTTTTTAATCATTTTATTGGGGGCTCATACAGCTCTTATCACAATCCATATGTTTATCCATTATGTCAAGCACATTTGTACATTTGTTGCCATCATCATTTTCAAAACATTTTCTTTCTACTTGAGCCCTTTGTATCAGCTCATTTCTGTACCAGTGTACATCTTCTGGTCTAGCCAGATTTATAAGGTAGAATTGGGGTCATAATGGGGGGGAGGAAGCATTAAAGAACTAGAAGAAAGTTGTATGTTTCAACAGTGCTATACTGCACCCTGACTGGCTCAACTCTTCCTGTGACCCTTTGTAAGGGGATGTCTAATTGTCTACAGATGGCCTTTGGCTCTCTACTCTGCACTCCCCCTCATTCACATTGATATGATTTTTGTTCTGGGTATTTGATGCCTGATACCTGATCCTATCAACACCTCATGATCACACAGGGTGGTGTGCTTCTTCCATGTAGACTTTGTTGCTTCTCAGCTAGATGGCCGCTTGTTTATCTTCAGACCTCAGGTGCTGTATCTTTTGATAGCTGGGCACCATCAGCTTTCTTCACCACATTTGCTTATGCACCCATTTTGTCTTTAACAATCGTGTCAGGGAAGGTGAGCATCACAGAATGCCAGATTATTAGAACAAAGTGTTTTTGTGTTGAGGGAGTACTTGAGTAGAGGCCCAATGTCTGTCTGCTGCCTTAATACTTAACATGTAAGTATATGCACATAGATTTTTTCCCTATCATTACATATATATTTACATATGTACATGCTTGTATTTAGACTTCTATAAATGTCCTTTGCCCTTTAGTTCTTTCCTTTAAGAAAACATTTCTTGATTACCTAAAAAAAAAACACACCTCATTGACATCAAGTTGATTCTGATTCATAGCCACACTTTAGGGCAGAGTAGAACTGCCTATTTGGGTTTCTGAGGCTATAAATGTGTATGGGAGTAGAAAGCTTCATTTTTCTCCCTCAGAGCAGCTGGTTGTGGTAAGATACCCAGTGAGTAACTCCCTAAGCCACCTTAGAAAGGTTCCTGAGAGGGCTCCTTAAGAAAGCCTCAAAACAAAAAAAAGAAAGAAAGAAAGCCTCATACAAAGCCACAATTCCAAATCTGAAATTCTAAAATCCCAAATAGCTCTAACAGCCAGCTCTTTTTTTTGCTCAGTTGGCACCCAAACCCACTGGGAGCCACACCTTATCTGATCATGTGTGTTCTACAGAAAGACCCTCTGCTGTCTCAGGCCTGTGTCGGCTGCCTGGAGGCCTTGCTGGACTACCTTCACGCCAGGAGCCCGGATATTGGTAGAGACCGTCCGTATTCTCTGCTCTCCCAATGGGGGGTTTGGGAAGCCAGCCCCCATCACTGCTCTGCCCCAGAATTCCGTCCCCTATTCACAACACTGCTGGGTCACTGTCATGGTCATTTTAAAGATGACCACACTGAGACTCAGTGAGGTCATAGGATGTGCCCAGTCACAGTCACAGAGCTCTTAAGTGGCTAAGCCATTCCTTGTGCAGTCGTGGGGTGACCTGAGGGAGCCAGCTAGCAGTGATGGGCGATAAGCAGGGCGAGAGGAGCCTTCTGGAGTCAGCCTGTGCCCTCCTCTCCAGTGGTGTGGCGAGGCTTGTGGTAGTGGACTAACCCCTGGGGCCTTGGTGCTTTTGTAGCCCTCCACGTGACCTCCCAGCCCTGGAACCGGTTTCTGCTGTCCACCCTCTTGGATGCAGGGGAGAATTCCTTCCTCAGACCCGAGGTCTTGAGGCTCATGACTCTGGTATGTAAAGGAAGGCCCTGAGAAGGCAGGTACACCTTTACCTTAGTGAGTCTTATCTTCTGCGAAGGCAGGTGAGCTGGGCACCCCTTGCCCACACATACACACACACTGTGACCAGAGGCCTACTCCAAGAACTCCCTGAAACAAAATAAATTCCCTGAAACGTCCATATATGTTGGACAACAAGAGACCCTCAAACAGGTTCTCTTGCTCACTCACTCATGAAACGTTACCAGGCCCTACCTGTCCTGTGCCAGGCCCTTGGAGACATCCAGGAACCAAGCACTTTCTGCTGTTATGGGTCACTCAACCTGCAGGAGACAGCAACTCAGCCAACAGTCAGTGATGGAAGATACATCTATTGCCTAGTGCACAGAGCCCAGAGAGTGAACCATAAAGCCAGAGTGAGTGACAGAGAAGCAGGCAGCAGAGTGACACACACCGAAAGGGTCCTTGCATCTGCCCAAGGTAGGCGGAGATGTCAGAATGTCACAGGCACTTAGCTCCTGCAGTGAAGGTGCCTTTAAATGATGCTTGAAGGAGGACTAGGCAGAGGAAGGGCTCTAGTGGTGAGAGCAGCAAGTGCAAGAGCCCCAGGGGGTGCTAGGCCCTAAACAGTTCATGCTGGCCCTGTTTGTGCCATACAAGGGGTAGGGGGGAGCGCATGGTAGGGGATGCAGGAGGTAAGGCAAGGGACCATCAGAAGCCAGCTGTGCAGGCCTCCACTCAGTGGTCCACACACCCCACCCTCACCCCTGCCATGCATTCTTTGAAGGCTGGGGTCCTTGTGGGCTTGGGTTGTGATCTCTGCCCAGTGCAGTCATGGCAGGACCCAGGACCCGTCTGTGGGTGAGAGCAGTGCCCACCACAACCGCACTGGCAGTCTTCTCTCCCCGGCCAGTTCGTGCGGTTCCAGAGCAGCTCTGTCCTCTCCAGTGAAGAGGTGGCACATATTCTGCAAGCCGCAGCTTCGGCCAACATGTCTACACTCTCGAGGACCGCCCTTCAGGCTCTGCGTGGCTTCTTCTTACAGGTGGGTGGATGGGGCCAAAGGACTCCATGAGACCATCCTTCTGGGCAGAGTGAACACTCTGGTCATCCCAGCCAGGGGCACAGGGAGTACAGGGAGAGGAGTTGATGGTGGCAATTCTGTGGGCTTGTGTGGGGTGGGCCCCGAGCAGGCCTGACTCCCACCTTCTCATCAATCAGGTCCAGCGCATGGGCCTCCTGGACGATCCCACTATAGCCCAGAGCCTGCAGGCATCCCTGGAGGGTCTTTCTTCTCAAGCCCCCCAGGCCCAGCCACCCACACAAGACATGCTGTATCCTTTCTTGCATTGGGCAATGCTACTCAGGCCCTGGAAAGCCATGGCATCATGAGGGGCTCAAGCCCCAAATCTTAAAGAGAGCTTCAGGATAGAGGTGGGGTCTACAGCCTTGAGTCCAAGGAGTCGACAAGGAGAAAGCTTGTTTATCATACTTCTGGGGTCTACAGCCTTGAGTCCAAGGAGTCGACAAGGAGAAAGCTTGTTTATCATACTTCCCTGAGGGCAGGCAGGCCTATGACCTGCACCTGAGCTTCCATCAGCCACAGTAGCTGGTAATGGCAGGGCAGGTGTAGTGCCTTCCTCCCAGGGGTGTTGGAGGAGTGAGTGAGTACATGTAAAGCAAGTAGCACAGCGCCTGGCCCTGCTTGTATGGTATGAATGTTTGCTACTGTGATGTCCATCCTCTTTCCTAGAGGGGAAACTAAGGCTCAGATTGAATGAGGCACCCAGGGCACCCAACTGGTATGTGGTGGCATCAGGATCTGACCAATTATCTGTCTCCAGAGTCACATCTAACACCTGGAAGGAGCTCAGCTATCCCTGCAGGTTTTGGAGAGAATCACCCATGCCCAGTTAGACTAACATGTGGGGAGGCTGTCCTGTCCCTGGGAAAGCCCCCTGGGGTGTGTGACAGTGGTGTCCAGAGACACTGCTGGGAATTGGGGGGGGGGGTTTCCTTCCCACCCCAACACTGCCTCCTTGGCTCTCATCCCGTCATCAGGTAGCTCCCCAGCTTCTAGAATCCGTTCACTACTCTCAGAAGCACCTCTCTTCCTGGATGACCTCTCTTGCCCTTTTGGGTTCTGGAACTGTGGGGCCCCCAAGTTGGTCCTTCCTCTCTGCTGTTCTCCTTTCATGCTTTGCTGCCAGCTGCCTGGGAGGGGTGGCCGTATCCCTGTCCCACATCAGAGACTGAGCCTTAGACCTTGAAGGTCCTGAAGCAGAGCTCTGAGGCCTGGAAACCGTGGCAGGGCACAACTGTTTGATGAATGGACGACAGCAGCAGCCAAGCACTTGTTCAACTGGAATCAGGAAATACAGATTCCCTCGCAGGCCTGCGTGGGCTCTCTGAAACATCTCACTTGAGTCTGGTCTCTCCTGTGCTTGTGCGCTGGCCCGCTGGGCAGTGAATGTGTCAGCAAAGAATGGCATGGCGGGCAGGGTGGGGTGGGGGCAGAGGGATGTTTGAATGCCTGAAGAGCACCGGTGTGGCACTTCCCTCAGACCCAGGCACACCAGCCAGGCCCTCCTCCTCCCCAGGGTTGGGAGGGCAGAGTCCCTTGGGAACTGTGACCCATGGGCTCTGAGAGGCACTTTACCTGTGGCCTCACCTTATGTGGAGGTGGTGGTGTTAGGTGCCATCGGTTGGTTCCAACTCATAATGACCTCATGTACAACAGAACAAAATTACCGCCCAGTCCTGTGCCATCCTCACAGACATTGCTGTTTCAGTCCATTGTTGCAGCCACAATCCCATTGAGGGGCTTCCTCTTTTTGATGGCCCACTACTTGACCGAAGCATGATGTCTGTGTCCGCTAACTCCCAAAATACGGGCAAATTCTCACCCCCCTTCTAAGAAGCATAGACTGTCAAAGCCAACCAGGTCAAGCCCTCCCCGTCTTCCAAGCTCAGTGAAACTGCACAGGCTTCAGCCTTTCCCTGGTCTTGCCCATTGGTGCTGATACTTGGCTACGCACGCACGTGTGTCTTGGCTCTTCACCTGCTATGGCACCCAGCTCAGCCCCTCCCGTCCAGCGAGGTCTTCGCTCTACTCCTGGGGGCTGGCGACAGCGACCCCATAGTTTGGCAGGGTGAATGCGGGTCGCCCAGATTCAGCCCTGCCAACTCCGCCAGCTTTAAAGGCATGGAGGTGCGGGTCCCCACCCGCCAGGTCGATCTAGAGCTGCAGTTTAAAGCGGTGATAAGCGACGAATTAGGTTTGGAGGCCGCATGAACGGAGGGGCGACCCCGCTCCCCACCGGCAGGGCCAGGCCCCCGTGTCCTGACGCGCCCTTAGCGAGCCCAGACCTCAGACATGTCACCCAGCTCAACATTAACGGGTCGCCGTGAGAACTAGGGTGTAAAGTCAGCGGGAAGTGCTGGCCGACCGAAGGCGGGGCGGGGCCGGAAGTGAGGTCGGGGGACGCGGTGGTCGCGGCCGACGCTCATTGGCCGGGGCGGAGCCGCGCGGCGCACTCGGCAGCTCTTCCCCGGGAGCTTTGGGTTAGTGGTGGTGCTGCGCCTAGGGTCTTACCTGCCGCACTGCCCCGGCCGGTAGGTGGTGGCAGGGCACTCGGGGCTGGGCAGTTGGGGTACACTGCAGGGCGCGGGCGTGAATGAGCGGCCGCGGGTCCCGTCCCCACTGAAAAGACTGCCCTCCTTCGGGAGCCCTGAAGGCTGGGCAGCAGCCAGGGTGCCCAGCCCCGGGACCCCAATGGCGCGTCGCTGCTTTTTGCTCCCCCGTAGAGTGGGCGGAGTGGGGAAGCACGCCCGGGAGCGGGATGGAGAGGCTGGAGAAGTGGGAGTGACCGAGGTGAAGGCAGCTGCTGACTCCCACTTTTGGCGTTCCTTCCTACCCCTCCTGTTTGGCCAGGGCCGAAGATTGACACCCCACCTCCACCTCCACCAGGTTCTGCCCTGTCTTGGGCCTACCGCGAGCCGTGGTAGGTGCGGGGTGGGGGTGGGGGTGGGGGCTGCGTGATTTGGGACGTCTCCTGCCGGTTCTCTGGACTTCACTTCCCTCGTGGAGGGGGGTTGACCTCAGTGTCCCTGGGTCACTGTAACAGCCTCTCCCCGCTAGAACATGGATTGTGAGAGAACAGTGATCGAGCCCCAACAGACCTTTCAGAAAGGAAAGGAAGCCCTGGGGTTAGTCAAATACTGGGTCTGCTCTGAATAGCAGTGTGCTTTTGGAAGAGTCACCTAACTGCTGGGTTTTGGTTTCCATAGTGGTACAATTGAGCTGCTGTACAATTGAGAGGCCTTTCCTGATGATGTACTTTACACACAGCCTATCAACTCCCTCTCCTTCCATCTTTTTTTTTAAAGTAAGCTTATTAGGTGTCTTTTACCCCTATAGAAGAAACACAAGGATCATTAGGGCGAGGGCTTTCATGGGTTGTAGACCCTGTAGTGCCTAGGCCAGAATGGGTGTTCAGTGGAATGTTGTCTGAAAGGAGCAGGTGCTAAATGGGGTATCTGGTTCCAAAGTGAGTGGCATACCCCTTTCCCCTAGACTGCCCTATGGCTTTTCTTCCTTACTGATGACAAGTCAGGGAAGGAGGGAAAACCTGACCTTCCCCATCCCCTATGACCAGCCTGGACCTCCTTGGCCAGACCCTTTCCTGAGAGCCAGCCACTCCTTCCCTGGGCCCAGGGCTTAGCCCATTGCTCCCTCCCTGCAGCCAGCAGGTGACATGCATATCCCTGTTCCACAGGAGAGGAAGCTGAGGTGCTGGGAAGCTGAGTAGGTAACTTGCAGGAGGACAGAGAAGCCTGAGCACCAGCCCAGGGCTCTTAGGTGCTGGCTGCTTTGTTCTCATCATCCCTGCAGTCCTAACCTGCATCTTCATCTTCCCCTTCATCCCAGGCTTCACTGCATCCCTGCTGGTGTTCAGCCCCTCCCATCCCTGCACCACCACCTCCAAGCCAATCCAGGGCCAGGCTCCCTGCTGGGGAAGTTCTGTCCACCTGCGTGCTCTGTCATTCATGACACCAAGTCTCACCCCCTTTCTCTGCTGGCTCCAGGTCTTGAACATGGACCTTCTTCCGATTCTGGCCTTCCTTCTTGCCCTGGGACTGTCTGGGACGGGCACCATGGGGACCTTGAGGACCTCCCTGCACCCAAGCCTGGAGATCTGTATCCCTCGAGTTGGGAGTGGGGTGACTGAGGGGTCTGGAGATGAGGTATCTCCAGCCCTTAGCTCCTTGATGGCGGTGGGAGAGGGGGAGGTCTGGGGTGGGTCAGGCCCATCAGACAAGCAAAGGGAAGGTGCTGTAGCCACCCCTGAGCCAATCAGTTACCTTCTGATCTCACTTTCTTCCTGGACCAGACAGAAGGCAGCACGTACCTCAGCTCCACCAGGGCACAGCTCCAGGGCGAGATTCTGGGTGGGGACTCAGGAGCGCTGCTTTCCTCTGGCCTCTGTTGACCCTGGCATGCCGGGCCACCAACATAAGGCAGGACCAGCCCCTGGCTTTCAGGAGCTCACAGGTGTGGATGTGGAAGTCTTCATACATACCACTCCTGCACTCTGTGACCTGTGGAGGGGACACTGGTATGGCTTTTCAGTTGGGTCTTGAAAGAACAGGAATGCCTAGACGGGGCGGGAGCAGTGGCATGGAGACTCAGAAAGACCCCATGGCCCAGGAGACAGGAGCCACATTCTGGAGGCTTGGCTGTTGGGTATGGGGTCCCCTGTGAGCTGGAAAAATGGCACATTCCAGGATGTGTGTACTCTTCTGACAGCCGGGTCCTTGCCCGGGGCCCCAGCACAGCCATGCATGGTCGCTGGGAGTTCTCACTGTTGGTAGTGGCACCACTGAGTCTGTCCAGGCAGGAGTCTCAGGATGGCAGCCCTTAGCTTAACGGCTTCCCAGACAAGAAGATGTTTGAGGTGAAGCGCCGGGAGCAGCTGCTGGCTCTGAAGAATCTGGCGCAGTTGGATGACATCCACCAGCAGTATAAGATCCTTGATGTCATGCTCAAGGGGCTCTTTAAGGTGAGGGCCCAGTTTTGGGGGGCAGTGGTGGGGAGGAGCACCAAGCCCCTTGGATGTGGGCATGGAGGGGAGAGCAAGAGTTCCCTCTAGGAACAGTGTGCAAAGGGGAATCTGCCAACGGGGCTAAAGTCGGGGTTGACTAGGCTCTGGGGCTCTGGGAGGCTCCCCAGGTGCTGGAGGACTCCCTCTGTGGAGTGCTCAGCCCTGCCACCTCCCTAGGTGCTGGAGGACTCTCGAGCGGTGCTTGTGGCTGCAGACGTGCTCCCGGATGGGCCCTTCCCCCAAGATGAGAAGCTGAAGGATGGTAGGTCCTCCCACCCACTATCACCTCTACCACCACTTCCTTCTCCTCCTCCCCTTCCTCCTCCAGGGAGTCCTTCCTGCCCATTCCAGTCACTCCCCGAATCCTGATGGCCCAGTGTATAGAGGGGGACTCTGCTCCAGAGGGTGTTCAGGATTGGGACCTTTGGGAAACACATTGCCAGGGCTTTCTTCCAAACTTCCTCTGGGTGGGTTCAGAGTGCCACCATTCCGGCTGGTAGCTGAGCGCTTAGCCATCGCACCCCACAGGGCGCCTTTAAAAGCCCACCACCACCACCACCCTTAATTCTTTGTGTGATGAAAGTGAGAAAAACATAGATGAGACGAAAGAATCAAGTGTTCCGTGTCCCTCCATCTCTTCTTCCCAGACTCCCTCCTTCCCCGTGGTCTGCTCACATTGTACAACATGTTTCTTAGGTTACTGTGCCTGGGACAGGAGGGTGAGGAGCACTCTGGGAGGAAGGGAGGTTTCTGTCCCAAGTGAACAAAGACAAGTGGATTGCCTGATGGTTCTTCCCCCAACTCCAAAGCCCTGGGTCTTCCTTGAGCCAGGCTGATGCCCATGCCCATTGACACTCAGGACTGTTTTGAAGCTTAAGGATCCTGACCCCATTTGTCTAGTTATGCACCTGGCAGGTGGCCTGGCCAGTGCTGAGGAAGGTGTGCTGGGATGACCGCAGTGGGGGCTCCCTCCATGGCCATGGCAGGCCCCTAGGCCTAGGGAGCTGCCACCATGACAGACGTGCAAAGGGACCTGTGGGCCAGAGAAAGTCTAGGCCATCAGTGGGCCATTGGTGAATTCAGATATGAATTGTGGACTTGGTACTGATGCTGTATCCATGTTCATTTCCCGGTGTAGGTCATTGCACAATGGTTTTATAAGATGCTAATACTGGACGAGACCAGGTAGAGGGCATAGAGAAGGAGTTCAGTGCAGTATTTCTGCAACTTTTACCTAAGTTCTAGCCTTCTTTCAAGATCAAATCTGAAGCAACATTCAAAAGGAAAGAAAAAATCAAAAGGGTAAAAGAGCCCATCCGCTCCCTACCATTCTGAGAGAGCTGATCCCACATGCAGACGCTGCAGTCACGTGCATGCCAATGTCCAGCAGAGCCTGTCCTGGGGCGCCTCCGCCTCCGAGAGTGGAACAGCCACCACCTCCCCTTCCGGGTGGTCCTGGAACTCGTGAGCTGGTGGGCAGTAAACCTGTGTGTGTATCAGCAGGCTGTGCTCGGCGGCCCTTGCCTCAGCTCGGATTAGTGGCTGACACTGTATGTATGTGTGTTATACTCTGTGTGTGTGTGTGTGTGTGTTTTCCTGTGTGTGTGTGTGTGTGTGTGTGTGTGTTCCTGGCTGGCGACTGGGCTCGGCAGGCGGGCAGCAACCCCAGCCACTAGTAGATGGTCTCACGCAGCGTTCTCACATGTGCTGGAGAACACGGCCTTCTTCGGCGACGTGGTGCTGCGCTTCCCCAGGATCGTGCATCACTACTTCGACCACAACTCCAACTGGAACCTCCTCATCCGCTGGGGCATCAGCTTCTGCAACCAGACGGGCGTCTTTGACCAGGGGCCCCACTCGCCTATCCTCGGCCTGGTGAGCGTTCTGACAGCACGCTGGGGCACCTATGTCTGGTGGCACACCCTGGGCCTGAGTGTTAATGGCTGGCTTTTGCTCTGTGATGAACTTCAGCACCCTGGTCACACAGACCCCCATCTCAAGGGGTGAGGCTGGTCCTGATCCTTAGGGGTGGTCAACGGATAGGTCCTCCCCTGGCCCATTTCTGCCCAAGTCTGGTGTAGTGTCCTGACGTGGAGGGTGTGGTCGGGTGGGGGAGGTGAGCAGGAGGCAGAATGAAGGGCTGACCAGCTTTCTTTCACCCCCAGATGGCGCAGGAGTTGGGGATCAGTGAGAAAGAGTCCGACTTCCAGAACCCATTTAAAGTAGACCACACGGAGGTGAGCACTGGTGCCCAGCCACATCTGTGCTGGCTCCGCCATTGGCCATCAGGTGTGGGGCAGCACAGGACAGGCCTGGGGCCAGACAAACCTGGCACAGTGCATTGGATTTTGTGATCTTAGCTCACCCTTGACCTCCAGCTCCTTATCTGTCCCAGCTTTGAGGAATGCTATGAACACCCCCCACCCCCACCCCCGGTCTCCACAGGCACCCACGTCAGGGAACATCAGGGCTGCTGGGGAGTCAGGCTGCAGTCTTACCTGCCCTTTAGACACTGAGCCCTGGAGGCTGTGGGCTGGGAGAGCAGGCAGGGACAAGGGATCAGAGGTGGCAGGGTCATGAAGACAGGAAGGGTGCACTGGGGGCACTCGGGGCTGGTGGACTGGCTTGGTCTAGAGGGGTGGCAGGGGCTGGAAAGGGACTGGGGCCAGTACCCTCCTTGCAAGGTAACAAGTTGACCTGTGACTGTCATCATGGATATGAGCAGAGGGTGATATGACCCAACTTTATTGCTGTCACACCTGTGGCCAGAATGTCAGCCCGGTGGTGATGGCTGCCCCGTCCTCCAAGGTCTCCTGGACCTGGGGAGGCCAGCCTGTAGCACAGAGCCACTGTGTCCTCCAGGGTTCCAGACTCCTGAGGGGCCAGTAGGTCTTAGTTTAAACCTCTTAAAAACAAAAAGAATGAAACCAGTTGCTATCAAGTACTGGCCATCCCACAAGTGTTGCGATAGAACTGGATTGCACGGGGCTTTCAATGGCTGATTCTTTTTTTTTCTTTTTCTTTTAATCATTTTATTGGGGCCTCATACAACTCTTAATCACAATCCATACATACATCAATTGTATAAAGCACATTTGTACATTTTTTACCCTCATCATTCTCAAAACATTTGCTCTCCACATAAGCCCCTGGCATCAGCTTATTTTTCTCCCTCCCTCCCCACCCCCTTCCTCATGAACCCTTGATACTTTACAAATTATTATTTTGTCATATCTTATACTTTCTGACATCTCTTTTCACCTACTGTAGTATTAAGTTAAATGTGGGGGGGTGAGGGGGCCAGCCCGCACTCGCTGCTACTACCCACGGGTTCAGTAAGCACAATTGTACGGTTGAGATATATAAGTATTATATTAAAGTCATCGAGAGCATGAGAGATACAATAATGCAGTGACACATTACATGGTAGCATTGCTCACCTCAGCCCAGCTTGGCGGTCCACGTGGAGAGAGGGGGAAGGGAAGGAGGGCAAGGGAACTAGGGAGAGAGGATGGGAGAGAAGGGGGAAGAGAGGGGAGCCAGAGAGAGAGAGATCAGAGAGCTCTATATTGCTGACTCACGCCTATATATCTTTTGGGGGCATGCCAGCCCACTAATTACAGGTAGAGACATACGTCACAGGAAGGGGTTACATTATAGGCTAGACAGTAATGAGGGGGTGGTCCAGGGACATACACACAACAGGAAGAGGAGGGACTGGGGTATACATGTGACAAGATGGTTGGATCCCAGATTCAGGATGGCAGCTCAACCTTGACCTGTTCCCTGGGTCTCCATAGGAACCATTATCAGTAGGGTGTAAACTCCACCTACAGGAGCCTGTACATTGTCCCCTGAGGCAGGGTGCAGGGCCCACTGCAATTTGGCAACTGATCGCCCTCAGGGGGGGAATGCCTTCACATCTGACCTCCCCCAACAACCTATTTTTCTGTTGTCCATCCCCCAGGGAGGAGGTTATATGTAGATCCCTGTAATTAGTTCCCTCTTTCTACCCCACCCTCCCTCCACCCTCCCAGTATCACCACTCTCACCACTGGTCCTGAAGGGATCATCCATCCTGGATTCCTATCTTTCCAGTTCCTATCTGTACTAGTGTACATCCTCTGGTCTAGCCAGATTTTTAAGGTAGAATTGGTATCATGATGGTGGGGAGGAAGCATTTAGGAACTAGAGGAAAGCTGTATGTTTCATCATTGCTACACTGCACCCTGACTGGCTTATCTCTTAACTGCAACCCTTTCATAAGGGGATGTCCGGTTGCCTACAGATGGGCTTTGGGTCCCCACTCTGCACTCCCCCTCATTCACAATGATATTATTTTTTGTTCTTTGATGCCTGATTCCTCATCCCTTCGACACCTTATGATCACACAGGCTGGTGTGATTCTTCTATGTGGGCTTTGTTTCTTCTTAGCTAGATGGCTGCTTGTTTACCTTCAAGCCTTTAAGACCCCAGATGCTATATCTTTTGATAGTTAGGCACCATCAACTTTCTTCACCACAATTGCTTATGCACCCACTTTGTCTTCAGCGATTGTGTTGGGAAGGTGAGCATCATGGAATGTCAGTTTAATAGAACAAAGTATTCTTGCTTTGAGTGAATATTTGAGTGGAGGCCCAATGTCCATCTGCTACTTTAGTACTAAATCTATAAATATATGCACATAGATCTATTTCCCCATCCTCATATATAAATATATTTACATATGTATATGCCATTATTTAGACCTCTGTGTTAGACAGGGTTCTCTAGAGAGATAAAATCAAATTGCTGATAATTTAATATATTTATTTATAAAGATGATATATAACAAGAAATGAACAGCTAAATTATAAAGCAGTACAAATGGCTCAGTGCAACTCACTCCCGTGAGAGAGAGTTGTGAGACACTAGCAGTCCTTTAAGTCTAGTCTGCTGCCAGGTCTTCCTCTAGATAGAGAGAGAGCTAGGCTATCTCAGCACAGCAGCCAATCATAAGGCAGGTCACCAACTGTCAGCCAGGTCACCAACCGCCAGTCCCCAGCTCCAGAGATATCTTAAAGGGACCTCAACTTACAGTGACACAGTTCACAGGCTAGGCATCCCACAGGTAGAGCCATTTATCTCTCCACCCTTCAGTTAATCCCACTTGTGTTTATCGGCCAGGCTGGCACAATAAACTATCTCAACCTCTATAAATGCCCTAGCTCTTTCCTCTATTTCCTTTTAATTTCCTATTGTCCCACTATCATGCTCAGCCTTCATTAGGGTTTCAGTAATTCCTCTTGGTTACATTACCCTTGATCATGCCCTACCAAGCCTCCTACACCCTTCTCAACACTGATTTGGATCACTTGTTGTTCCCTTGTCCCTGGGGTTGTTAACGCCACTTCCTTTCCCTACTCCTCCGCCTCTCCCATATCTCCCCAGAACTGTTGGTCCCATTGTTTTCTCCTCCAGATTGTTCATCCAGCCTATCATATTTAGACAGACCTGCAGAGATAATAGTATGTACAAAAACAAGACAGAGCAAAACCAAGCAACAAAAGAAAACAACAACAACAAAAAGCCAATGACCAAAAAAAACACAACAACAATAAAGAAAAGCTTGCAGTTAGTTACAGGACAGTTTGTTGGCCTTTAGGAGTATTTTCTGGTCGAGTCAGATGGGGTGCCAAGCCCTGGCCCCAAAGTCTATTTTCGGTATTCCCTGGGGACTTCATTCTGTTCCCCTTGCTGTTCTGTTGCACACCCTCAGTGTTTTGCCTTGGTGTGGTGGGATCAGATTGGGCGCAATTCCCACACTGTGTCTCCAGTGTTGTCCTGCTATGGGTCAGTGAGGGATGTCATGTCTCATAGTGGGGCTGGCCACATGGTCCTCTCTGTGGATTGGCTGCCCGGATCAGGAATCTTGTCGTCAAGGTTTGGTGGGCCAGGATGTGCTCCACTCTCTCTTCCTCCCCCTTCTCCATGGTTGATTCTTGAGAGGCAGACTGCTGGGCTTTCCAAGACATATCTGGGTGGAGGCACCCCACCCAACCCCCCCTTTGGCTAGCAGATGGTACTCTTTCTCTTCTGTACCACCAGAGACGCCTTACTTTAAACAGTTGGGATATAATCGAAGGCTAACCTATTATCCAATACAACCCACGGGAGAGCGCGTCAGCTGCTGTTCTTTGGCATCTTGGTGAATAATTACAGGACCAAATAGCAGGCCTTGTCCCAGTGGAAAGACATTCCGTGTCCCCGTCTCTTCCATGTATTCCAGCGGGACAGGCCAAGCCCACTTGGGGTTGGGTGGTACACTGGATTTGGATCAGCTTCCCACCCTTTGGGGGCCCCAGAAGGCATGGCCACAGAGGAGTTGTGGCCTCAGTTGCCCTACCTGGCATAACACAGGGCTGCTCGGGCATCCAGCGTTTCTTCCTTTGGGTTGAGCCACAGGCCTTGATGCCTGTTTGTGCACTGAGTCCATGCACGAGCCTCTTCTGCTGGTCTCCAGCACAACAGCCTCTTCCCGTTAGCTGCCCTGCTTCTCCATCACGAGGGCAGGGGCAACGAGACCACTGGCCGGTTACATTGTCCATTGCAACCCACACTGGCCCCAGGGAGACCGAGGCTTGTTTTGCCAGGTGGCCATGCTGAATCTAAGGCAATGAAGAGCAGTCACCGTCCCCTCCTTCAGTCCCTCTCAGGTCTGAGGTGTAGCCACCCAGCTGTCCTAGCCCACTACCCATCATTTTACCTTTCTGCAGCCATCCCCGACCCTCACCCAAGGGCCATCCAGAAGGGCAGGTGTGCGTGGGAGATGGCATTTTTACAGAGTGTGCAGAGACCCACTGTATCTCCCATCTTGGCTCACATGGACCCCTGCAGGGGAGCTTGGTGAGCAGTGGACTCAACCAAGTGGTCATTGTCCCTATGACCTGGGTCAGTGCTGCCCCAGCAAGAGGCTCCGGGGAGCTGAACCAGAAATACAGCGGTGTGGCCGCGTCTAGTGCTGTGATGCATCCAGGTGGCAGGTGCCTGGGAGGGGTAGGCTTGGTCAGTTAGTTGACTCCCACCAGTCTCATTGCGAGCAGGCCTCCCTATGCCATCTATATGTGTGACTCCGACTGGCCTGTTGACAGCCACAGATTAGCTCTAGTTTGTGGCCCTAAAGAGAGGTGGGTGTCTTTAGTTGGGGGGATTGTCTTTAGCCTACCAGTTTATAGTCTTCCACGTGGTAGACCAGCTG